ATTGAGGTACCATCAATTGGTAATAGACCACATTGATGCCAAATATACAACTTAGAAGAATTTCTGAAGCCGAATATGGAAAAGCTGTAGGATTAGGTTTTAAATATATAACGTTACTATTAATGTCTGTAATACTGTCAGGATTATTTGGGTCAAAATTAAATGTGAAAGTGTCGTCGGGAACATCTGTTAATAAGGAGACAGAACCATTGCTAGAACAGGTTTTCCTTGCTAAACCTAAAAGCAAAATAATCCCGTATATCAAAAGAGGTATAAATGTTATAATCTCTAAATGTGATAGCAAAGCAAGCACTCTCAAAAATGTAAACCGAAACTAACGAATCACCATATCTTAATTTATATCGAAAGTTATATATTTTAGGTAATTCATTAAACGCAGAGAAAGTTGTCAAAATAGTTGTATTAAAAGCAGAAACCAAAAAAGTTTCATTACGAATAGAAGTTATATTTGTAGAAATATTGAAGCCAAAACCGAGAAAGTAATCAGATAAAATAAATTAAGAAATTTGAATATGTTTCTGATAATGTAGATCGTTTTTGATTGTTTGATCAACAACAATGAGTTCTATATGATCATCTTGCATTAGACTTAAAGATTTACAAATTTAGCGTGAATACCATGTACAAATAATTTTTTTAAAGTTACAATTAGGTATATGATAAATATGTAAACCCGGGTCTATCTAGGGCTGTCGTTTCTAGCTTCATATTGATAACAACCTCAGATATAAACTCAGACATAAAGATAAATCATTCTATTAGTATTCCAATTTTGATAAATTAAAAATTTTGTATTATTTCGGGAAGAAATGCAGATTTTGTAAGTCTATTCACTAAAACACACTAATTTCAAAATTTACACTGGATAACGGATTAGTGCATATTTATTACAGCTACAAATTACTCTTGTACTTGGTAAGTTACTGATAGGTTTAAACTCAACATAGTTTATAATGCCCTATTGTCTTTATCGAAGCATTACTTTATTTTTTAATTTAGTATAAACCCTTTTTAGGCCTAAAATTCTACACATAGCTTTCAAGGAAAATATAATATTTTAAACATAACTTTTTGTACAGTATATTGAAGTATTAAGTTTATTATTAGTTTATTTATATTTAGTTAGCTTGGATAATCTATATGAATATTCAAACTTTTGTTACCCGAAGATTATTTGGGTATGTCTACCCGAGTATTACCCGGATATGTTTACCCGGGTAGCTGAGTTTACAACCCGGATATCCGATTATCTGCAGATAACCCGAATAATATTCAACCCGGGTATCATCACTACCCTACGTATTCAAAGCTGATTTTACGATTTAGGGTTGAGTAATACAAATATATAGTAAATAAGTATAAAATAGTTTTTTTACTAATTAATAATAATAATATAATGATACTAATAACAGTGTTGCAATATGACAAACTTATCCGGCAAACTCTTATGATCATGAATTGCCAGCTGTCTTGTTATTTTTTTCATGTGTTACGATGTAATCATGCTTATTCAAATTAAAACTCAGTCGATGACTCCCTACCAATCATGATCAT